CCGGGTCACGATGTGGTCGCAATGCAGGAAAGTACTCGTATATCCAGGTCTGCAATAAAGTCAGACACCCAGTGATACCTGCCGCGTCAGCCCGACTCGCAAATCCTAGTTGGCGATACAAATACGTCAACGTAGCCGATCCCCAAGAAAACTGGCCTACACTGTCGGGGTCACACGCCTCTACTATGTCGCGTGGCCTGAGCTTGTTTCCGCCGCTCTTATCCGGAAACAAGGTACATCCGAGGAGTAGAAAAACATAAGCAGCCAGCTGTGCGTCGTGCGTCCTACGTGCACTGGGGTACAAACACCGCTGCAACACGGATGCGACCTTCACACCGCCGTGTTCCCAAACACCAAGCGCCCCGGTGTACAGTGCAGCCCTGTCCACCGCCAACAACTCCGCCAGCAAATCTGCCTGATCCGCATCAGCCACAGCACAAAGTCGTTTACCCTCAACACGAATCCCCAGAATGGCCTCGCCGTCATGTAACATGATCGTCATCTCACCGAACGGAAGGTGGAAAGAGTTTGTATCCGGCTGCCATCGCTCAACGAAAGCCGTGATCAGCGTACTGTCAATCTTATCGTGCATGGTGGCAGGAACGTGATTCACCCCAGTGCCCTCCAGTCGCTCGAACATCTCGCTCTCCGCCGGCCAAGCCTCAACCCATGTACGCAAAAAGCTACAAGTCTTTTCCCGGGTATGACATTTCAACAACCCCGTAACTGAAGGCCTCTCCTGGTCCTCCCAAATACGGGCAGCTATGTGTCCTAGAAAGCTAGGAATCACACTCCCGTCAACAGGCCCACCGGGCACCTCACTCCTAACAACCCAAGAATCATTAACGGCCCTCGACCGTTTCCTGCTTGCCCCAGATACAGTGGACACAGATGATGTGCCAGATCTACTAACAAACCTACCACCCCTACCCTTACGCACCTCCACCATATGTGTCTCGTACATGTCATCAACCCTCTGACTGAATGGACCGTAATCATCATACGGTCCACTCCCATCGTCCACATCCTCATCCTCATATGCGCCCTCCTCCTGCTCCTCCTCCTGGTCACCCTCCTCAGCATCATCATCGTCATCGTCATCCTCATCCCGACGGTGGATCCGTTCTCTACGAGGCGAGGCCGAAATACCACGGGATCTAACATGTCTATGCCCCGACCTCTCCACTGAATAGCTTCTACTAAGAAGCTCTACATTCTTCGCCGCACCACGACGACCCAGTGAATTCTACAAAAAATTTAAAAATATATAAACATACAAAAGTTTTTTAGAAAAATAAATAACTACCTACAGATACAAAATACCAACACTTCCAACATATCGTCATGTTTATAAACATAAAATTAATAAAGATTATAAAAAATCAAAGACATAATAACTAAATAGGACATAAAACAAAAATTTCAAATTATTTCAACTAATTAAACATAGAAAAATATTATACGGCATACACAAATACACACATAATACCCTAATATATTACAAAATTTATGATTTCCAAAAAAAAAAAATTATTTCAAATAATTAAACATAAAAAATAAAAAACAAATATATTACACATACACAAATACACACATAATACCCTAATGTATTACACATTTTAAATAAAAAAAACAATTACACATTAACACAAACAATTTCCACATACTACATCAATTAAGGCATAAAAATTGTTTAAACATCAAACATAAAAAAAATAAAACATAAACACAACAAAAAAAATCTGATTTTATAAAAATAAAATATACACGATTTATAAAAAAAAAAACACATAAAGTTGATAAATATTTAAAAAAAAAATAAAACACAGTAACAAAAAAAAATTAGACATAAAACAAAATTATTTTAAATAAAACTAAATTTCTGATTTTGCAAAATAAAAAAAAAAAAAAAAACAAAAAAAACAAAAAAAAACAAAAAAAAATCAGAAAAAACAAAAACAAAAAAAACAAAAAAAAACAAAAAAAAACAAAAACAAAAACAAAAAAAACAAAAAAAGAAAAAAAAAAAAAAAAAAAAAAAAAAAAGGGTCGGGCGCCTGGCCAGGACGCCCACCCACTGGCGGTGGCGCCAGCTCCGGCAGCCGTAGCCAGTGGGCAGGCGCCTGAACTGGACGCCCACCCAATGGCACAGGCGCCAGATCTGGACGCCACAGCCAATGGGCTGGCTTCTAGTTTGGACGCCTAGTCCGGTGGCTGGGCTTCCAAGCCAGACGCCACGCCACCGGCTTTGGCTGCCGAACCTGACGCCTCACCACGCGCCACCGTCGCCTTTTTTTTTTATTTTTTTTAAAAAAAAAATAATTAAATAATTACCTTGCCACCAGGTCGCCGCCTTTCCTCCGCCGTCGCCACCGCCACCTCTTTCCCTTGCCACCTCGACATTGTCGTAATTAATTTTTTTAACAGAGGTAGATTTTCTGGTTTTTTTTAGAGAGAAGTAGAGAGTGTTTTTTTTTTTAAAAGGAAAAGGGCAATAAAGTCACACCAAGTCATATTTGTGGGCTTTATATGGTAATTTGCGGGCGATGTTTAGCGATTCACTAAATGATCTCAAATTTGTTTTGCAATTAATTTGTTGGCTTGCTCTCTACTCACACTTTAATTTGCTTTCAAGATTGTCTAGTTAGATTTGATGCCGGCGAAATCGTCATTTATCTCGGAATTCCAGTTGTAAGTAACCATATTCCCTTTTACTACTTAATATGGTTAATTTTGATGTTGGGTTGATTTTGATGAATGAGATATATTATTTGTTTTAGCTTTAATTATAAATTATCATCCTTTAATTGCAATATGACAGAAAGCTTGAATGATATTATGCTTTGTTGGGAATGACAATTGGATATCGTATAAGACCCATAGTTGTGTTAAGGTCTGATTGTTGTTTCATTAACCCACTTGTATAATAATGGTATCCATTTGTTGCGTAAACAACACAATCACTTAAACATTTGTCTGAACCCTTGACCAATTTAAATTAGTAGGCTAATTTTTCCCTCATTTATCCTCTTTTTTTACCCTGTACCTCTGATATCCCTGTTTACACTTTTCCTTTCCTGTCATGTTTTTCAACTTCTATTTGAATTTCTGGAATCAAGCAAGTTTTCTTTGATGAATGGTTTGAGCTAAATAGATGACTGCGATAATAAATAAGATGAACACAGCATAAAGACATGGACACATTGTCTTTCACATTATATGGTTTAGTTAGCTAAACGAAGTCTTTTTTTTGATGAAAGCAGTAGGGTCAGAATAAGGGACTACTGTAAAGATTCGATTATGGGCCTTCCTACTTAGCAAACCTTATGTTCCTGTCAACTAGAGTCCCATTGCTTTCTAGTGTCATGTTTTTTGAAGCAATTGAAAGAGAAAAGGAGTCCTCAGAGGTGTTAATGTTGAAACTGTAACAAGCAACATCTAGAACGCTTGTCATGGAAGTCCTGGTAGTAAAGATATCAGGGTATCTTCAAGATGTTTAATATATGCATTTCTTATAAGACTAATTCATCCCTATGTTAGAGTTTATGAATTTGATCATGAAAAATCGAATGACTAGTGTAGTAATATTTGCAGTACAGCAGGTTTCTAATAATTTCGAAAAGGTTCCTACTACATATAGATTTCCAAGGTGGTTTCAGGCTTGAAATCATTCTTTCTAATGATTTTGTTTACTATTTCCTTATACTTTTCCCTTGGCAGGGGAGACCATGTTGATTCTTGTATAAATTATAACGTTGCTATCTACTATCACTCCATGAATAACATAAATCATGACCTAAGGCATATCTTCAAGTCCGAAATATACCCTATATTGCCTACTCTTCCATAAGTTTGTAATTTGAGTGCTGGTTTACCTTTTATTGGTTGTAATTTAGCTATCATTCCCTTATATATATGGTTATATTAGCCTACTGCTCATTAAAACTCTTCTTGCTAGCCTGTATATTTGTAATTTAGCTACTATTCCCTTATATAGTTATACTAGCCTACTCTCCATTTACACTTTTCTTGCTAGCCTGCATATGCATAGCTATAAAACTACATAGAACTTCTGTTGCACTACTGTCTTGCCTAAGGTACCACTATGAAGCCAGCCTGCTACCTGCACTGTTCTAATCGATATGCAGCAAATGGTGCTTGCTATTGATGTACCGTTGCTACTGCACCTTCCTACCACATCCCCTCTCCAATAGCTGCACTAACCCCCCTTCCCCTTCTTGCATGTTGCATCCCACTGCACGTGCAACACCCTATTTTAAAATAACTCTACTTACTTTTTTATCCCGATGTTATGTGCATTACTTTTCATAAGTTTTATAATGATTTTCACAAATGCACTTTTTACTTATCTTTAATTGTAGGAATGGCAAAGAAAAAATCCACTAAATTGGGAGCAAGCAATCGACAGTTTCACACTGATGAAACAAGAATTCCAGATTATGAGAGGTCAAGATTGCAAAGGATAAGAGAAAATGCTCTAAAAATGCAAGCTTTAGGGCTGCATGAAAAGGCTAAGTCATTGATAGGTCGATATCAAACTGAAAAAGGCAGCCGTGGGAAAATTAATAAAAAGAAAGATGCGGAGGAAGATGAGATATATAGGCCAGACCAAGATTCTGACATTGATGAGCATGAGCATGATTCTTCTTTTGAGGGGATGCGTATCAAGGAGACTTTAAGTAATCAAGGCTCCAACTCTAATCGTAAGAAGGTAATTACTTCTAACTGTAATTGAATACTTTTTTTTTATTTGTAACTACAAAGCAAGTCTCCTCATTATGATTAGCACACAGTAGCATTGGTTTCTTTAATTGAATGACAAATATGTTGGTAAAAACAGCTTTTGCATATATATATATATATATATATATATATATATATATATATATATATATATATATATATATATATATATATATATATCTTTAATGCATGTTCTACAGATTTTCAAAATGAAAAGAGCTCGAAAAGCAATAGCAATGGCAATGGCTTATAAGAAGCGTCAACAGAAACTTGAGCCCATTTCATTAGCAATAGATACAAATGACGTTGCAGTGCAGCAACCTACTGAAACTGCACTGGGGCTCTCAAGTAGGAGTGACACTCATTTTGAAAATGGCAAGTCATGCTTCCCTTTGTATAATTGAATAATCAAGTCTAATTTGTTTTACTTATTTATTTATTATTATTAATGAACCTTAGTTTACTTGTTGTAAAGTGTTTGGACACTCTAAGTTCATAATCTTGTAAATTAAATTGTTCTGAAACCAAGAAACTAAATCAATATGTTCTTATTTATGACTAAACAATTAGAACATTAAATTAGAGTCTTAAGTTATCATAATTAATTCTGCATTATAAATTGCATGATCTAATCATTACCGTTTGTTCTTTATGCATGGATGTGTTTGAAGCTGATTGCTCTAAAAATTTATATTACATTATCTAAATCTACTAGGGCCCAAACTAGTTTATTTATGCATATGGACTGATTTTACACTTAGATTATTTGGATTATATTACTTCCTTATATATTGATAATCTTTAAACTCTTGAATTGAATTGATAGAGATAGATGGAATTGAAAAGTCAAGAAGAGGTCCCACTATGTGTTATAAAGTCCATGGAAGAACTGAAGATGAACGCTTGGAAATTACTTTGAATGAGCATGGTCAACCTGTTGGTCCGGACGATGATACATGCAATGAGTTTATTAGCTTCTTGGGAACAATAGCTCGAAAGGCAAATGTATTACCATTAACTATTCCTAAGTGGCCAAAGTTAAGAAATGAAAAGCAAGATGAACTTTGGGGATATGTCACAGTAAGTTTACATATACCTTATTTTTTTAGCAAATCAATAATGTATGAGCATGATATATTTTATACGCCACAACAACAATATTACTTATTATTGCAATATATATTTCCTTGCATTATCTTTGTTCCTTCACAATTGTGTGTAGTGAGCTTGTTTTTTTTTTTTGTTTTTTTTTTCTCAAAAATAAAAATAGCAATGGGAGTAATCAGCTTATAGTCAAATATAATTGTTACTGAAAGATCTGAAACTATGAATTACGATTAAAATTATAAATCTTGACTAAAAAACCTGATTGGTTATTGTAATTGTTTTAGTATTATAACATATATGGTAATTATCGATAACTTAGATCAACGAGTAATGCAAATGTTGAATTATGATAATCACATACCAATAATTATGACTTAAATTTCTGTTTTTTTTTCTTTAAACTTGATTATCTTTGCAATTATTGACATGTACATTGTTGTAGAAACATTACATTGTCCCAATTGAGGCTAAAAGATGGGTTTTGCAAGCCATTGGCGCTACTTGGAGACGATACAAATGTTATTTGAAAAGAGTACACTTTCATAAATATGACAATGATAAAATGAGGTTGATGGATCCACCAAAACAGGTCCCAAAAACAATGTTCAAGGAATTGTTAAAGATTTGGAATGATGAAAAATATGAGGTATTTACACATGTACAAGTCTTATACTCACCTCCCTTTATGATGAATGCATATTTTTTGTTTTATGAAAAAGGTTATTTAATTAGTTCATTATCTTAATATGTTAGAAACGATGTATGCAAAATAAAGCAAATCGGTTAGTTGGAAAGGAAAAGAACATTATGCATACTTCTGGACCAAAGAGTTTTGCTAGGGTTCGATATAAATGGGTGAGTTTGTTTGCTTTCTTTTCTCGTCACTTTTATTATTGGTTTATTTCTTCATTAAAATAATTGACAGTCATCACTCTTGTATAGAAAAAGGATAGAAAAACAACACAAAATCCTACTCTAGCTCAAATGTTCATAGAAACACGCAAGGAAAAGCTCACAAAGCGGAAGCCCGGTGATCTAAGGGACAAATTGATTGTAATATTTATTCTCATTTTATGTGGTATACTTTTTGCTTTAATTTTGTCACTACTAATTTTTTTTTCTCGTCTTAAAATGTAGAATGAACTTCAAGATTCAGAGAAGGATGTTGATAGTGTAATTTCCACTATTATTGATTCTGATAACAAGAAAAAGTCTCAGATAAACCTTTATGGAAGGGGTGTTTCATCAACTCAGTTAAAGAAGAAATCTTTGATGAAGGAAGTTGAAGAGAAGCATGCTCGGGAGGTTGAAGCTCTACAAAAAGATTATGAGGATAAAAGGCAACAAGATAGAAGGGAGATGGCAAATGGTCTTAGCTCCTTCTTTTCTCAACTTCAGCAACAAAATCCTCAAATGTCTTTTGATCTAAGCATGTTTGGCTCTTTGTTTCTTGAGAGTCAATCTGAGAAGGATGGTAATACAACAGGAATGCTTTGACTTCATTCTTCGGCTTCTACATCCAAGGTATAAACCTTTTGATTTCTAAATTACGCAAAGTAGAGGTAGATAGTGACTAATGTCTTCATTATTTTTCTCCTATTTTTGGTGCATTTGAAAGATATTACCCCTATTAGATTTCGTTATTCGTCATAACAGCAAAATCATCGAAGCCTTTGTATCCATTATTTTATGCCTTTCTTATTTGTTATTTTCTTCCTGTCATTAGTTATACATTTACGTTATATCATTCGAAATACAAAGTATATTAATTCTAGACTTTTTATTTTTTGTTTTTGCAGGGAGTGAATCGTATGGAAAATGAACAAGAAGAAGAAGATGCAATAGGCAGCGAGTAAGAGGAAGAAGAAGAATGTGATGTCATAGTTTAATTTGAATTTGCTTTAACCTTTCTATTGTTATTCCTAGCTTGGACATATTTTTGCTTCTATTTATTAGCTAAACTAATATTATAGCCTACGACATACTATGAAACAATAGGTTATTGAGATGATTTGGTGTAAGAAAAAAATGTTATTTACTACTTTTGTTTTTGTTTTTTGTTTTTACTAATATAACTTTTATAAGTTTGAGATTGTATAGTTAAAGCAATTAGATGCTTGATATTAAACATTTTTCTAATATAACAATTTCACAAGACTACTGCACATTTCCACTCTTTTGCAATATAGCAATGTATTACAAAAGGAAAAAATAGCCAATTCATTTTAGCTCTTTCAATTTATATATAACAGTTTTTAAAGCGTTGCCTTTAAGATATTTGGCAACACTTTTGTATCGTTACTAGCAAATACAACACGTGAAAAATTTGTAGCATATTATGACATAAGACGACATTTTTAAATTGTTTCCTAAGGTTGCAACAGTTTTTAATTGTTGCCTTTGTAAAATTGTTGCCTTAGGCATGAATTTACCTTGGCTTTTAAATTTGTTGCCTTTAAATAAAAATGTGTTGCCTTATGAATAGACAACGGGGGCATAAGCAACGTCTCATATGTGTTGCCTTAGCTACAAGGCAACACTTTTTTAATATTAGGCAATGGTTTTTCACTGTTACCTTAGCTTCATTTTGTTGTAGTGGGATTTTTTAAAATTTTTGGGCGGACTTGGGATGCGATTTTATGCAATTTTAGTTGATTTTTTTTGTCCGATCCGAAAATGGCCCGAAAAGCCCGCACGGTCCGGCTAGTTGGGGCGAGTTTGGGCATATAATTTTCGGCATGAGAAATGGGTTGATTTTTTGGCCTTCGCTCGGCCCGAACCTTACCCCGGCCCGTCCAATGATCACCTCTGGAAAAAACTGACCTGAATTCATGAGGCAAAGATGAGAGACACTAAAATGGAGGATTATTAAAAAAAAAAATAAAAAAAAAAAAAACAGAAAAGAAATGGAGGAATAAAGATGGAAGCGTGGGGAATAGGAAGAAGGAGGGGGGAGAGAGAAAGAGATGAAAAGAAGACCCAGAAGAAAAGAATGCGTATGGAGAAGGAAATGCGCCCAAACTTTAATTAATAGTAATACGCCACGCTGTAAACTGCAGAAGTGCAATGGCTTTGCCCGTTTGGACTTGGGTGTTGGACTTGGTATTTTGGCTAGATACCTCGAGTTTTCATTCACCAAATGTTTTTGTTATATATTTTCAAATTTTACTAAATACTCTACATTTCACTAGAATTCACCATACACTCTCTATGACTAACGAAATTCATAAGCCTTTAACTAACCTATTAATGCTACTTTTCGTTATAATAAAGCCATGTTCACTTCACCTTAAAAAAAAAATATTAAGTAATTTCAGTTCTATTAAAATAGTTTTAATTCAGTAAAAATAAGTTTAGTTCAGTAAAATTCAGTAACTTTAAAGTATAAATATAACAGAAAATCAGTAAAAATAATTTCAATTCAGCATAAATAATTTTAGTTTAGTAAAATTAATTTCAATTCAGTAAAAATAATTTAAGTTCAGCAAAATTAATTTCACTTTAGTAAAAATAAATTCAATTCAGCAAAAATAAAGTGAAGTCAACGTGGCCTAAATGCTTCGTTTTGCATGCTTGAAAATCGTTTCTAATTGCTTGTCGAGAAAAATTGTTAGGCTTAGATATTAGGGGTCATTTTGATCCTTAAGAGAATAAGAGTTCAATTTCAAGTCAGATTTGGCAAGAAAAAATACCAATAATTTCTCGTTTTGTGTGCCAAGAAACACCTTTAGGTTGCGTATTTTGATTTGCATGCGAGAAAATTGATCACTTGGGTAGGGGAGGTCTTCCCTTAAGGATTAAATTTAGCATAGAACTTACCAAAAATGTCTCGCTTATGTGGTGTGAAATGTCTCCCTTTGTGTGCCTCTACTTTCAAGCTAGGTAAATGTTCAATTAAGGTTTATGGGGCCATATTTGCTCTTAAAGGTAAAATTTGAACTCAAAATTGAAATAAAAAATACCGAAAAAATCTTAGTTTGTATGCCCTAAAATCTTCTCCATTTGCCTGTCGAGAAAATTGCTTTGTTAAGGTGTTTGTGGAACACCTCCAATTTATAGCGCTGGAAAATTTGTTGGAGAAACAATCTCATGATTCTTTGTAGTTATGATGTATTTCATTTGATTGCATTCGAAAAATTGAATACTTCTGTGACCGTGCATAATTTTTTACCAAAGAATCAATTTTACAACAATCCATTTAATCTACGATCCCATAATTTAAAATAAGAAGAGTCTGCCTCAAAAAAGATTAAAGAGGAGACAAACCTTGTCTTTCGAAATAGATCGAAAACTCTTTCTTTCTAAGGGATAAAAAAAAAAAAAAAGTTCCTCTCTAAAAGAGGAATCGTGATTAGAAACCTAAAAAACCAAACCAGAAACAAAGATTGGGGCTTTCCATTAGTGAAACCAATGAAAACCCCTTCAAAACTCAACAATGGAGATTAGGGTTTAAAAGATCGATAATGGAGACTATGGGTTTAGAAAAAAAGGTCATAGTAGAATTTTGGGCGTTCTGGGGTCTGAGAACCATATGTATATACTCCCTCCGTCCCATAATATAGTTCTTATTGTGTTTTTTTCACAGTATTTAAGAAATATGAGGCAAAATGGAATAAGTACATTAAAAGTGGAAAAAAAAAGTTAGACAAAAGTACAAGGCAAGTGGATAATTTAAGGGAAGAAAAAGTGAAAAGTACAATTATAGACAAAAGTTAGAGAGAGAAAGTGGAAAAAAGTACAATGCAAGTGGATAATTTAAGGGTAAATTAGGAAGTTAAATGAATAAAGTTAAAAAAAATAAGGGTATAATGGTTTTTACATACTATCCAAAAATAGAAATAGAAACAACATTTTGGGTCTCCAAAATAGAAAAACAGAAACTATATTGTGGGACGAAGGGAGTAGGATTCATAGGCGTGTTTATGCTGACTTTATAGTTATATTTTGGGTCTTTTAGTTGCGTTTAAATTTACATTTGCATAAGTTGTCCATCTTGTGCTTTATTACACTATGGTGTTTTTCTTAAGATATCAAATAATTTCATAATCATTTGGATGCTTTTATAGTGTTTAGAGTTAAATCGCACGACAATTGAACGAAAATTTAATGAATTGGTGTTATAGATCATAGCAGTACATGGTTTCTCGGGCATAAAAAAACAACTCCTTTAGGGTGGAGGGTAATAATATCTAAACTAATACTTCGTATAACAAGCTCACGTTAGTGTGGGGAAACTTACATTAGAAATTGATGAAATACATATTAACCGTAAATCAGAGTCACCTCGTTATAAGAAAAATAAAAAATCAAAATCATTAGAACTAAAGCAGCTAGCCTGCAAATTGATTTATAATTTGATTTCAGCTCCCTTCTAAGGATTAGATCAGTATTCCAAATTTGCCTGATTTTCCTGCCAAAGGAAGTCAAGACTGTTTCAAACAAATGACCTAAGTTATTACATCCCCTTCGTAATTATAATCAATAATTCCCAGAAACTTTATGCATAACCAAATAGGGCAACCTGAGTACGAGTGGACAACCACCAGATGCTCTAAGGTTACCTGCTCTTGGAAACAAAAACCCCATCAAATCTGTGACTGCAAGCAGCAAGGTATTGCAATTCAAAGCAACAAGTCCAGGACTCTCCTGATACCACACTCACGCGGGCCAAGTATCAAATTTGGTGAGTAACAAAAAGCTGAATTTTTTTTTTTTTTTTCCCTGTTCTCATTTCCATGTAGTCATTGTGCATATCAGGAAAACCTAAAAAAACTAAAAAATTTAGATCTATTTCACATTTTCACGGTACTCCTTGACTCCTTCCTCTCTCTCCTCCCAGAATGCCAGAACACAGACACAGACCACGGCTTCCTCTCTCTCTCCTCCATTGAAGCGTACTCGAAATTCTCCATTGAAGGGGCTTCTGAGCTTTCTCTCCTCCACTGAAGCAGTCTCAAAGGTTAGATGCTTCTTTTTCTTTAATCATTGACCTAATTTAATTAATTAATTGTCACTATATACTCAATTTAGGTTCTTCGAAGTTGGATAATTGAACTATTGGTTATAGATACTCGAAGAATTTAACATAATTTTTGGAGTCTAGTTTGATAATTGAGTCAATTTTGGTTGCTAATGTGTTGCAGGGTTTGGTTTGTGGTCTTGTGGAGCGTACTCGAAATTCTCCATTGAAGCGGCTTCTGACTTTCTGAGCTTTCTCTCCTCCATTGAAGGATTTGAACCAGTCTCTAAGGTTAGATTTAATTGTGTTAATCGTGTATTTAATTGTCAGACTGTCATTATATACTCAATTTAGGGAGGTTTCGGTGGTGGTGCAGCCGTGCAGGGGGGGTGGCTGTCGGGGCTGGGCTGGGGGCTGGGGCCTGGGGAGTGGCTGTCGGGCTGGGTCAGGTGGGGAATTGTTTAATTAATTTGCATGTTCAGTGAGGAACTTGAAATTGAACTTGAAATTGCAACATGTTTATTGAACTTGAAATTGCTATTATTTTCGACTTCGTTGAATTTGGATTTCTTTTCAAATTGATGTTCATTAATTCTGTTTTTGATTGTATGATATTTCTGTGATAGTTGGATTAATAGAAATGTTATGCTTTTACATCGTTATCATGGTGATTGAACTTGAAATTGCAACATGTTTATTGAACTTGAAATTGCTATTACTTTCAACTTTGTTGAATTTGGATTTCTTTTCAAATTGATGTTCATTAATTCTGTTTTTGATTGTATGATATTTCTGTGATAGTTGGATTAATAGAAATGTTATGCTTTTACATCGTTATCATGGTGATTGAACTTGAAATTGCAACATGTTTATTGAACTTGAAATTGCTATTACTTTCGACTTTGTTGAATTTGGATTTCTTTTCATATTGATGTTCATTAATTCTGTTTTTGATTGTATGATATTTCTGTGATAGTTGGATTAATAGAAATGTTATGCTTTTACATCGTTATCATGGTGCAAAGTAGTTAAGTAGTTTTCTTGTTTTTTATCATTGTGGGAAATTTGGATAACTTAAACATTTAGATTGATTTATCTAATTCAACCTTTAACTTCAATTTCAGAATGAAAAGAAAAACAACTTGAGATATTTCAAGTTTTTTTTACTAAAAAAGTGCCTACTTTAAATCCTCCTCCTCCACAAAATGGTACTCCTCCTCCACAAAATGATGTACCTTCTCAAGAAAGCGAACCAAATCCTCCTTCACTACTTTTTTAAGTATTTTTTTTTTCATTATACAAGCTTTGACTATATTTTGATATTTTATGCGGTCGATGGACGATGATGGGACAACCTATTAATCAAATCCTGGATCCGCCACTGATCGCTACACTCCTCGCTCTCTGTCCAACTCGCCTCTCATTCTCTCAATCTTTTTGTGTCTAAATGTCTAATTACAAAATTACAATTCAGTTATTAAAATTAATTTGTTGTTAATAGCAGTTTATTTATCTTTGTAGCTTGTTCATCTTGTTAATTAATTTACAGATTTGATTTGTTGTAGTTTAGTTTCATAATTGCAATTTGATATGTTATTTGTTAATTTATATGCTTGCTGACTGATGTATTCCGGAAGGACCTTGATGGTCTTATTTGATGTTGTCTGTTCTATATTAGTTGTTTCCCCTGAAGCTTTTATCTGTACTTTGTTAGTAGTTTCTTTTGGGGTTATTTTGGTACTAGGGCAGCCATGTGCTTTCTGTATGTATTTCAGAAACAGTGCGCATATCTTGAGATATACACCCGGGTGTTTAATCGAATTTTCTACGGGAAAATCCTAGTTATTTATTGGAGGAAAACAATCTCTATCCATGGTATTAGAAGTTCCTAGTTTGTTTGATTAGCCGCTTTTGTGTGTAGGGATATGGGGATAGAGAGAGAGCAGAGTAGCACATCCGAAGCCGAAAGAGAGGAAAAAAGGATTGTGATGCTGGCACTGAGCAATGAAGGCTTGCCTTCGGAAAGACTACAAGGTGGTACTCAATTATATCACACTCGTGCAGAATTTCACTCGGTGGATCTGAAGCACAATATATTAACCCGTTCTTGCTTTCCTTCAATTATCATGGTTAAGTTCTTATCATCTGCCATGGTGTCATCTTTGAATAAATTTATCTACTTAGTGGGAGTGGGAGGAGCGCGGTCACCTGACGTCCAATCATCTGATGAGTCTTCCTCTTCCAACCACACATTCTACTCCGGCGGTTCATATCTTGACATGTCTGATGAGGCTCCAGTGTGGTGTCCAGCTCCTGTCTTCGTTGAGGATAACACTTCTCCCAACTATGTTAGCTTTCTTGGCAATATTTACAACTTTGGATCTGTTTGCCTTGCGCCCCAGGTTCTTGACTGTGGTGCCCTTGGCCACTGTAAGTCAATTCGCTCTCTCCCTATCCCTCAAAGCCTTGCCGGTTGTAGTGTGTCTGTTCCTGTACTTCCCGACCCTTCCAACAAACGCATTCTTATGCGCCTCTATGGTGGTCCCCTTTCGTCGCCTTCCCTCTATGCTTTCACTCCCGATCCTGATGCTGATGCTATTGGGACATGGGAATGTCTCACCTCTGATTTCCAACTTTGGGCTCATGCTGCTGCTGTTGTTAATGGGGTCATATATTTTCACTGCCATAGAGTTCCATCTCTTCTTTGTGCTTTTCATATAACCAAGAAAATATGGTTGAAAGTCTGGTGGGATTCGTGCTTTAAGGACAATGTTGATATGAATGTCGAAACTTTTAATTTCGATGCAATGCTTCATTTGGGCCACAATATTTTGTGCTTTGCTGGTTGGATGCCCATATATTCCCGGCTTACTGTTTTTACCCTCGAAGTCATCTTTTACAAGTTCCAAGTGCTGGTCACCGGTGAAACTGTAACCGTCAAGGTCTGTGACTCCTACTCATATGAACTTCCGCGAAGTACTAATGTGTTTCATTTCCTCCCCGTTTAGCAGGTACTCTTCTCCATCTTACCATCTCTTATTCTTGCTATTATTCTGTTACTTACTATCAAGGTATTTTATTGCCACTTTTAATGTGGATTCGATTTACAATGCTAAATTTGTTCATCAACTTAGTTGAAAGAGGCATCGATTGATAAATTTTCATTCCCAAAAATTTGCACTAGTGATTAGTTTCCGAGTCTTGTTTCTTTTTGTTATTTGATAGCTCTACGAAGAAGTAGAGTTTTCATATTTAATTATGAAGTTCTTGATGGTGTTCGGCTGTTTTCTAATGTGCTATTGTGTTCAAATCTCACATTCATCGTGCCTCGTAGTCTAGAACCTGAGGTTGTTTGATGCTCTTTGATGATTGGAGTGACTGTATTTCGACGGTAGGTTAAAGGAAAACATAATGCAGAATTTATTAGACAAGTGTGAAAGATGTGAACCTGAAAAGAACACATGATGAAACGAAGTTTGAGTCTTTTTATAAAAAATTTCAAGATCACCAAAGATACGGCAAGCCTTAAACCAAATACAATAATCATTAGAATCTTCTCATAGATGTGCCAAGAAGCAATAGGAAATTTGTTGGAATGAATTGAAGTATAAACTTGGGTGTCAGGTGTAGGCCACTGGATGCTCCTGCATGATCAGCAAAACTCATGCAGATTGACCACTTCAAAAAAGCGCTCTTGCTTGTGGAGTGAAATTCAGCTGAATGAAAAACTGATATGTGATCTTAGTTTTAATAGCGCGCACCTAGGCGTGACACTGGCCGCAAGGTGCACTAGGGCGCCAAGAAAAACGCCTCTAGGCACATACCCCTTTGAGAGGCGCAAAGGCGCAGGCTTTTTGGGCTTTTTTTTGTTTATTTTTCATTTTCAATCCTTTTGAGCCTAACCCACTAGAGGCGCACACCCCTCTTGCGCCTAGGTGCGCCTCTTGCCTTTTCAAACTAAGCATGTGATTAAGCTGAATTCTTTTAATTTCATGTTCTCTCCACAGAGGAAGAGGTAGTTAATCTCTCTGCAAAGGTAGTTAATGGTTTCTGTAAGGTAAAAAAAAAAAAGAGGGTATAGCCTCTTGAGTTTTAATGCATTGATGATTAGTTAAATTGCACTTTAGGGCCTTGTCACTTCTGTTAACTAGAGGTTTGAGATATTCCCACTTTAATACTATGAGTCCATGACCCATGAGGTACAATGGTTGAAATTCCATCTAATTTGATAATTTTATAGGTGCAAGTGTGTAACAAAGTGTGAGAATCAACTGTGAACATAATATTGGATTTTCATATAAATTTGCAAGAATTGCATTATTATGACGTTCTAAAACGCCTGTGATCTGGTTGAAATTTGCACTATATCCTTGTGTTGACCAAAGCAAATCACCAAAGTTCATGAATACCAAATTGGAAATATACCAAACACCAGGCACTAAATGGGAAATGCCAAAATGTTCATTTTCATGAATCAATTTGTTGAATACAATGCTCTAGCTTTCCTCATATAGAGATGTTCTTGAATATGTAAAACACATTTTTTCCCCCTTCCTTCTTTAAGTTTTTAGCTTGTGATTACTTCCTATGTAGGGTAAAACCTTATAATATAGTAAGTGCTTATATTATGTTGATTCCTGGGATGTTAAATGTTAGATGAGCATTTAATAAGCAGTGTGTCATGGTACTCATGCTTTCCAGTTACCTAAGCTAGGAAGATGATAAAGTAGGTTTGCATCTACATTGACACCATATTTCTGAAATGCTTTTGTTTCTTTCTTATTTACTAGGAGGTTGTTTGGTTGCAACCTATTTCCCTTGGAAATACAATTTCCTAGGAATTAGATTGTGTTTGGTTGGCAAAAACATTGGAAATGAGAATTCCAAGGAAATGGAAATTCCTACAAGGCTACAAAGGGGGAGTGATTGGGTGACCCTAAGGGTTGCCAACCCTCTCCATACTGAGTTTTCATTGGTGAATAAAGTATTAATTAAAACATTAATTTTATATAACCCTCTTCCAATTTATTACACATATAATACTATTTTATTATATTATACTCCGTATCTAATAGGGTTGGCAACCCTAAGGGTTGCTAAATCATTTTCCTGTAGGAAATCATTAACCGACTCCCCCCTTGGTAAATGCAAATTCCTGTGTCAATTACAAATACTCATGCTCAACCAAACACACATACTTATTTCCTAGGAAATGGAAGAATGGAATTTATTTCCAATTGGAATTAACTTCCCATGGCAACCAAACGACACCTAGATTTCAATAAGCTTGGCGCTGCCATGTTTTCCTCTGTCAACATTGTATACCCGTCTGAATATTAGATTTTAGATTTGGATTGCTAAAATGTGTATATAGCTCTCAAGTAACTTTTGTAATTTGGGCACTGAATATAATATGTTCTAGGGACTGTAAAAGTACTGCTCCCTCTGCTCCACCTTAAGGTTTAGGGTCATTAAGGATCCACAATAAGGCAGAAGTGATCAACTTAATAATTGCAGCCTATCACAGACGATAGCCACCATGCCCCGCCTCCGCAGCTGCCACAACCACCCAGGTCAACCACTACCAAACGAGGATGATTTGTTGGAGAAAACATGAGGCTGGAGCAGAGAGCATGGAATAGGTAACAAATGGAGTGTAGTTGGGGAGAGAAACGTGAGATCTTGTGATAAGAGAGTGAAAGTTAGGATTAGTAAATAGACAACAGGTTAGTTTGTTAATATACTGTCAACACATGATAAAACTTGTCTTAAGGGGTAACTATGACTTCACATCCACGGGTGATGTCTAAATGTCCAGAATTCTGGTTTTTTTTTTTTTTTTTTTTTTTCCTCTTTCATTTCATAGTTAAAAATTTGTGTAATAGGTGTATTGTATACACCGTGCTTTAGATGAGAACTTCAGGTTGTTGTCATTCATCTTCATCGAATGCTATATCCATTGAATATTGAGAACTTTTAGCTGTCGATAAATGGACACAAATCCTTGTACTGAGGAGGTTTTTTTCCGTACGATTTGTTTTTATGTAGTATTTTCTTTGGAATGTCAATAACCACTAAACCCCAAATTATTTTGGGACTAAGGCTTTGTTGTTGTTGGTTGTCAATAACCACTAAAATGATTATCACCAAAATGCCATGCTGTGTTATTTGTGCATAGCATTGATAGCAGCTGTAAAATGGTATGCTGAGCTATTTAACATCTCAAGCCCTATCTTATTTGTTACACCTCAAACCCTATTGTTTCTCAATTTTTACCTTAAGGTGCTAGGTGTTTAGAATTTATTCTGAGCTCTGCTGCTTGTAGGCTTTGCCATGTTGCTTGGCTCATATTGAAATTTGTTTGACGATTTTGTGGTTCTATGTTTAGTTGAGTACTTAAGTCAGAGTTGAGATGCATTCGTGCATAGCCGTGTAATGGTAAAAATTGGTGGTTGTTTCATGCTTAAGTCATGTAGATCTCTTCATTTTGTTTTATGGGTGCCAAATAGTATTTAATGAAAGCCATTTTGTGATGCTTCACAGATTGGATAGGACAACTCGTGTTTATCATCACTTTTCTAAAGTTATTTACTTAGTGCTACATGCCTACATGTTGGATGCTTCTGCTACGCCTAGAAACTTGTTTAGGATAGTTGTGTTGTATTTAAGGCTTAGCTTCTTCAGATAATGGCAGTCGAAGTTATGAATTATGAGTCCTATTGTCAAATATATAATATCAAGAAGAGCTGCTCGAATCATACTTGTATATTCTTTTTTGGTCTTTTATGACAGAGACATGATATTGAGGCAATTAATGACACGAGTTCCTCAATTATTTTTACTTTTCACAGGGTAGCTGCTGCTGAGGAAGAGTATGGCAATAGTGTTGGTCCTGAGGATGATTACTTGCTCCTATTGCTTGCACATCGTCATCCAATTTCGGATTCCTGATTTTTTGCCTTTTAGTCTTGTGATGACTGATGACTGTTTTATAGTGTTGTACTTGGTTTAAGTTTTTGGAAATACTTTAATTAGCTCTTTTATGTGAACTAAAAGCCTAAATACAAGGATGGTTGTTTGTGATAAAAATCTTGATTCCAATGAACAACAATTTTCTACTTTATTCAAAATAACATGTCCTTTGGTTACTTGGGTTTCCCAATTTGCTATTTCATCTAACAACCCCGCATCAATCCAAAGATCTATCAATCTTATTCTTCTCAGTTTTTCATGTTTTTGATATGATATGCAGCGTAACTAAACTCCAATATTCAGAAAACATCATGTTTCATGTCAACTTTATCATGAGCACATGTCAACTCTATTAAAGCATATCTCCGCTCTTAAAACAGCAACCACTTCAGTCAAACTGCAAGCCATTGTAGCAATTGCAAATTTGCAAGTGGCAAACCACCACATTCTTCAGCAACTGATCTTGTTGATTCTTCAGTCAAACTGCAAGCCATTCTCTTATTATTTGGTCTGCAAGCTCAGTAGAAGTAGTGATACACATTTTCCTATTTCTTAGATTAATTATGTTGCGGGCAACTAATATTTTGGGTATCAGTTTGTGTGCTACAATACTCTGCTTCATAGTTCAGACTTAAGTTTCTCATGCACATATCACATGAGGAGGGCTTGGGGTGATGATGGTGATGTTTTTAGCTGCAATGGACATTGCCATTATGCAACATATTACATTAGAAATTGTAGTGCGGTTTAAATAAATGACAATGGTAAAATAATCCATATTACATTAGATACAATTATCATCGGGTTCGGTTAGATTTTCTTTGAGTTGAAGTAGGTCAATTGTTTGACATATTTGAAGCTCCAATAAGTAAGGTCATGTTCTCATCAACTGAATTTTGCTGAACTGAACTTATTTTACTGAACTGAACCTATATTTGTTGAAACCTGAATTAATTTTTTACTTGACTAAACTTATATTTACTGAGCTGAACTTATTATTATCAATTGAACTTATTTCTACTGAACTAAACTTATTTTTACTAAAACTTATTAGAATCAGTTGACGAGAACAAGAATGTTCAGATCATGCATCAAGTAGGAGATAGTTTTGAAAAATCGAATACGGGCCATTTTGGGAGATAAGACCCGTATCCTTAATTAATTTATACGGAGTATGGGTTATGCATTTTGGGCCTTAAAGCTACCCATTACCCACCCGCTCTTTCATTATCTTCTTCTTCCCTATTATTATTACTCCGTAGATTATTACTACATCAATCAATCAATCAATCTTGGGTTTACATTAATACGCTTTCAAGTTTTGCCTTTTCTTCTCTTTTTCCAAGCAATTACTGGTATTCGTTTTACGGAGTAAGTAATTTCATCTTTCTTTTCTGAATATTAATTAATTTCATGCGTGATCTAATAGATTATGTGATTTTTTTAATTAATTCTTCGTTTTTTTCGGTATAATTGATATGTTTATTCTGATTTTGAGCTGTATTAATCTGATATTAAATTTTTTTGCTGTAATTTAATTTGAATAGCTTTGTTATTTCAATAATTACGTTGAAAATTTCAGAGCGATTTTTTTGGCGAATATAAAAGAAATTTCAGTCTTGGCGAATTTCAGGTTTATATTTTAGCTCTAAAAAATTTCCATTTTCACCCTAAAGTTTCAATCTTTCCATTGAAAAATTCAATGTTTGAAGTGAAAGTTTCAATCATTCATGTCAATGTTTCAAACTTTAATCATATTAGTTTCATGGTATAATGGGTGTAGCAACTCAGTTAATATTTCCATGCATATGTATTAGTATGTTTGGCCGATTTTTCTGCACCGCCCTTGTCAGTGGCGGATCCAGCGTGGGTTTAGTGGGTTCAACTAAACCCACGTGGATCCGGAAAAAAATTACTTCCTCCGTTTCACATTAGTCGCTACACTTTCAAAATTACGGATCCTAGGCAATCTTTTACAAAAGAGAGAGATAGAGAGAAAGAAAAAAGGGGACACGTGAGAGGAGAGAGATAGAAAGAGATTTTTTTGCAGAAAAAGGAAGTGTAGCAAGTAATTTGAAACTTCCTTAAATAGAGAGCGTAGGCAAGTAATTCGAAACGGAGGAAGTAGTTTTTATTTTTCTAATTTAATAAAAATTTAAATAAGGGTTACATATAAAATGCGCAATAATAAATTTAGTATTGGGAGATGGTTCAGTGGTTGGTGCTCCTTATTTTTGGACGCGGGCCAAGGATCAAATTTGGTGAGTAACAAAAACCTGAAAACTGTTTTTTTTTTTTTTTTTTTTTTTTTTTTTTTGGAAATTTTGACTTTTGCTACCACAAAAAACCATCAGTTTCATTTTTGCTACCCCTTAAAATTTTTATTTTATTTTACTACCACTAAAATTCACATATTTTAGAAGTTGATACCAGTTGACGGAATCTGTTACATTTGCCGTTTGTGGGCGCCACGCAATTAACTAACCAACGTTCCTTTCTTCTTCTCTCTCCTCGAAGCGTTTGCTCTGCCTAACTGTTGCTTGTCTCCATTGAATGCTCTCAACAACCTCCATTGAAGGCAATAATTTTTTTTCCTTCAATTCTTGTCTCTCTCCTGTCACTATCTCCATCTCTAAATTCTGCAATTTCCATGAATCTTTCATTCCATACTCGTTCTTCTTCTTTCTCTTTCTTACCTACCAATAATTTCCACCCTCTTCACTTAAACAAATCCAACAACACCCTCTACAAATTCCTCCATTTTTCTCCTTCTTCCCGCCAATTCTCTGCCCTGCAACACCAATTTTCCAAAGCTCCAACCCATTTATCTGCTTCATCCTCTGCTACGTCTTCGATCGCGAATGCCGAAAAGGAAGATAAGCTTCCTGCTGATATTGACATCACAGAGATTCCAGAACCCAATTCTAGAGTAATTGTTCAAGTTTTTTGTCTTTAAATTTGTAATCTTTTTGCACTATTGAGCATAATTTGATGATTTCTCAAATGGGTATTGTTTGATTTCTTGAAATTTTACTAAAAATCCAAATGGGTTATTCTCTTAGTGATGAGTTTTCATGTGGGTGTTGCTTAATTAGTTTAATTTTATTGAAAATATAAATGGGTTATTTTTGCTTTCCCTATCTATGATTGAACAGCTCCAACAAATTTCGTCCTTCGTCAACTTTGGAGAAGATGGGTTCTTCAAAGCTATTACTTATACAAAAGAAAGTGACAAAAGAAACGTTATAGTGGGGCCCACAAACGTTAAATGTAACAGATTCCGTCAACTGGTATCAACTTCTAAAATATGTGAATTTTATTGGTAGTAAAATAAAATAAAAATTTTAAGGGGTAGCAAAAATGAAACTGATGGCTTTTTGTGGTAGCAAAAGTTAAAAAATCCTTTTTTTTTTTTTCCCTGTTCTCAATTCTCATTCCATGTAGTCTTTGTGCATCTCAGGACAACCTAAAATATTTAGATCTATTTCACATTTTCACGGTACTCCTTGACTCCTTCCTCTCTCTCCTCCCAGAAGGCCAGAACACAGACACAGACCACGGCTTCCTCTCTCTCTCCTCCATTGAAGCCTACTCGAAATTCTCCATTGAAGGGGCTTCTGAGCTTTCTCTCCTCCACTGAAGCAGTCTCAAAGGTTAGATGCTTCTTTTTCTTCAATCATTGACCTAATTTAATTAATTAATTGTCACTATATACTCAATTTAGGGTTCTTCGAAGTTGGATAATTGAACTATTGGTTATAGATACTCGAAGAATTTAACATAATTTTTGGAGTCTAGTTTGATAATTGAGTCAATTTTGGTTGCTAATGTGTTGCAGGGTTTGGTTTGTGGTCTTGTGGAGCGTACTCGAAATTCTCCATTGAAGCGGCTTCTGACTTTCTGAGCTTTCTCTCCTCATTGAAGGATTTGAACCAGTCTCTAAGGTTAGATTTAATTGTGTTAATCGTGTATTTAATTGTCAGACTGTCATTATATACTCAATTTAGGGAGGTTTCGGTGGTGGTGCAGCCGTGCAGGGGGGGGGGGTGGCTGTCGGGGCTGGGCTGGGGGCTGGGGCCTGGGGAGTGGCTGTCGGGCTGGGTCAGGTGGGGAATTGTTTAATTAATTTGCATGTTCAGTGAGGAACTTGAAATTGAACTTGAAATTGCAACATGTTTATTGAACTTGAAATTGCTATTATTTTCGACTTTGTTGAATTTGGATTTCTTTTCAAATTGATGTTCATTAATTCTGTTTTTGATTGTATGATATTTCTGTGATAGTTGGATTAATAGAAATGTTATGCTTTTACATCGTTATCATGGTGGAAAGTAGTTAAGTAGTTTTCTTGTTGTTTATCATTGTGGGAAATTTGGATAACTTAAACATTTAGATTGATTTATCTAATTCAACCTTTAACTTCAATTTCAGAATGAAATGAAAAACAACTCGAGATATTTCAAGTTTTTTTTACTAAAAAAGTGCTACTCTAAATCCTCCTCCTCCACAAAATGGTACTCCTCCTCCACAAAATGATCTACCTTCTCAAGAAAGCGAAACAAATCCTCCTTCACTACTTTTTTATGTATTTTTTTTTTTCATTGTACAAGCTTTGACTATTTTTTGATATTTTATGCGGTCGATGGACGATAATGGGACAACCTATTAATCAAACCCTGGATTTGCCACTGATTTCATCGAACACTCTGTGGGTATTGATTTGTTTAATCTTATTGTATTTAGTCATTGATTATTATTACTATCATCTGCCTACTATATATCATCTCCAGTTCTCCTATATGCTATTTCCCTTGTTTCTTCCTTCCGTTTACTTCACTAGCAAACTCTCTAAGATGTATAGTATGTGTATCAGTACACAACTCTCTCTCTATGAAAACTTGTAGTGACATGCTATGCTCATATGTGCCTAGTTTATTTGATCAACAATATGTTTGATATCGGATTGCGTGCCTGCAACCTAGCTATATGCGAGGAATATTATCCCGGATGCACTTAGGCATTTACATGCAGCCAACACATTATGTTAGTTGTGTCATTCATGCATTCATGACAAGCTTTGGCTTATGGCAGTTTAGTGTTGCTCATAATTTGCGTTTGTTTCAATTGTAAATTTTTCCACTAACTGATAAAACCAATGATGTGACTCATTCTTTTCAATGTGAAATCCATTGTATTAAATTATGAGTTATCCATGGGTTACAACTTATTTAATTAATTTCTACAATTCAGGTCTATGGATTCTGCAGACACTCTTCATCGTTTCAAAAGGTCTATTAAAGCCTTCTTAAATAAAGATAATTTTAATGGTGCTCTAAAGTTAGTCGTAAACCGCATGGTTCGATGCATGGAAGAAAATGGTGAGGAGACTAAGGGAGAAAGTCTTGTTTATTTCCTGAATACTGTTGCCTCTGAGTTTCCAGAGTTGAACCTTCCCTCAAATCCGTTGCATAGACTAGAGTGTTTGGTCAACAACCTGCTTTCAAATGGCATGGTAGAAGATGCCCTAAAGCTCACTAGTGCACCGTATCCGTCTGTGTTAACTGTTTCTGTCTTGGAGCTCAAGCTGAGAATATTTTTCCATGAACAAAATATGGAGGGTAATTACTATTACTATTTTTTTTTTTATTATTTTTCTAAATTATTATTGATTTTTTGATTTGTTTATTTTATTTTATAGAGTTTTGGAAGATTTTTCGGGCTTGGGAAGTCCACAACATGTATGCATATGCAGAAACTACTTTTATTTTGGGGTAAGATTTCCCCCTCCCTCTACGATATTCTTTATGGGGTCAAGGACTTTGTTTTTGTTTCTTGAATTAAGCTTTCTTGAAACCTTTAATCAGCATATGCATTCACGACATCAATGAATGAAATTAAGAAAAATATGATCTTTGTTTTAAATTGGAAAATTACACTAATATGAACGATGATTCCACTTTTGGGACTAAGGCTTTGATTGATTGATTCCCAAACTTGCCCTTCTCCCCACTATTCAGCTCCTAGATTGTGTTTTCTGTTTTATTTATTTATTTATTTATTTGTTTAGGACGAGCTTTATGAATTTAAAAGATGAAGGATATCTGGAGAAGTCTATTGACTATTTTAGCAAAGGGATTTCTATGGCTAAAAGTCCTGAACAACAATCTTTGTTAGAAAAATTGGAACAGCAGCTATTTGAGGCAGAAAAAAAGAAGAAGGGTGAAACACAGCCTGCACCAAAGGAAGCTAAACCTGTACAGATTGCATCAGTTACATCGCAAGAAGCAGCACTTAAATTGCAGCAAGCTTCCGAGGAAGCAAAAAGACATGGTACTATCTCAATCTATGAAAATAAACAACAATAGAGCTGTCAGTTTTATCTCGTTCAAAATTGCTTGATTTGACTGAGACTGTAACTCACCGAACGAAAATCAACTCGTAGTTCTAAAAGCGTGCGCCTAGGCACAAGGTGAAGATACCTAGACAAAGCGTAGGAATTTCGTGTGTCATTTTCTGCACTTTTTGTGAATGTTGCTAGATATGAGTGATAAGTGAAAAATTATCAAGATTTCTATCGTGGCTTTACATATTTATTTCATACAGAACCCCCAACTTAATTGCATTGAAGCCTCAAATAAAAATCCCCAATTTGGGTGAAACCCTGAATAAAGTTGGGTGGCAAACTTCCAAATCAACAGTCGTGCACCATCGAATTTCTGATGCTCGTGTCTTGAATTTGGAAGTTGTATGTTTAAAGATGTCGCTCCTTGTTTTTGCTTCAACTTCTATGATTAATAGTACTAGTTGCTTTCTAATTTCTTCACGGTTGCTGAACGTAACCTTACTTTACTTTAAATGTAATCCAAAATTTCAATTACCCCTGTAATAAGGATTTTGTTAGATTTTTTCTCTCTATTCCACCCCCAAACCCTTCTCTTTGGGGTTAACTTTCATCAAATTTAAACGTCAATTCTCATCATTCAACAGTCAATCTTATTCCCTTATTATCAATTTTCACTTGTTTTAATCAGATAAGGGTGAGTAGGGGCAGTGCCGGGGCTAAAATTGCAAATTATTTATGGGGCCCTATTCAACTTTTCAAAATGGGGCCTTCTACTCGATAAATTTAATACCCAATTTTTATTTGATATAAAAAATTCATTTCATCAGAAAATTCGTCAAAATTAAATTAGAATGGGAAACATAATTTTAGGAGATGAAAAAATTTGAAAATGAATTGAATAATTGAAGAAAATGAAGATAATAATAGAAAGTAAATAAAAAAATATAGAGTTTTGGAAGATATAGAGTTTGTTTTGGGAATTAGAATGGTAGATTGAAATTTTTTGGGAGGAAAGATCTGCAATTTTGAATATCTGATTATTGGGTTTGGGCGATCTCGTATACATAGCATACTTGCTCTAACCACTACTCCAACTACAATTTCATGATATTATACCAAACTTAATTTTATATATCTAGATTTTGGGGCCCCTTAAATTTGGTGGCCCTTTTCCATCGACCACCTAGCTCCGGCCCAGAACCGCCCCTGAGTAGGGGATCCTAATTTGCGTTGAATCTTGCCCATTGAAGTTTTTGAATTTGTGAAATACTGCTACCTTTTATTATGGTAATTGAATTGGATAACCTGTTCGGATTTAGGAATCAAAGATTCAAATTTAGGGGATTCAAATCTTGGCATTGCAGATTTCTTTGTGTTCGTAGTTGTGATAAAGTCACTTGTTCTACTTCATATAATTGAGTTAAATCATGTTGTGTCAATTCATGTAGATGGGCTAAAATAGTTATGTGAATTCACTTAACTGCTATGAAATTAAATGGAGCTACTTTTTCATATAATTTGATCGGAATATTTCTTGCTATTTCTTTTGGCCCATGTGAAGTACTAATTTATATTTCATATGTGCTGTATGAAGTTGTGAATGTTGGTTGAACGTGAATCCCTTTTCTAAAGAGGTTTTACAAAGTTTTTTTTTTTTTTTTTTTTTTTTTTTTTTTTTTTTTTTTTTTTTTTTGTAAGCAACAATTGTATTTTAGACATTTAAATGAACAATATCTAAAATTTCGAGAATACTAATCTTGTTTTTTTTGTGATCGTGAAAATAGAAAGAGAACTCTTGGATGAAGAGGCCAAGATCGCGGCGGAGGCGAGAAAAAGGGAAAAGAAACGAGAAAAGAAACGAGAAAAGAAACAAGAAAAGAGTGAAGGAAAACAAATTGTGGAAGGGTCCGAGAAAGCTGTGGAGACAAAAGATGAGGGGGGTAGAAGGGGAAGCATATCTTTGGTCGAGGAAAGAAGACCTCGGAATGTAAGTTGGTTTTATTTGGCAATATTTTAGTTTAGGAAAATTAAACTAGTTAGAACTAACATGTTTTTGAACTGTTTGCAGTTTAAGATTGAACTTTCTGTTACTATGGAGTTAGATGAAGATTCTTTTATGGGGTCTACAAGGACTAACACCACTGAAGTCCAAAAATCATTTATTGTAGTTGACCAAGCACAGATAAACAACTTTCAAGATCTTGTTCATCTGTGTCTCAGGCATGAGACTCTGTTGAAGGTTGACCAAAGTTTTAAGATGATGGATGATGATAGGTTTTTTCTTGTGACAAGTGAGGATGTATGCACCCTTTACAGCTTTTTTAAGCGTAAAATTAGCATACTTTCTCCTAAATCAAATGAAGCTTGGTGGGATGCGATAAAAGATTTATTTCGGAAAGTATTCAGGTATTAAGTAATATTGTGTTAAATTGTTTTTTGGGATATTCTGTTTGTTATGGGTGTTTTACAGCTTAACCTTATTTTCTTTTGTTTATTAAAAACTAGAGGCGTGATTCGGGGGCTGATGTATTTGTTCGACAAAGACAAAGCCTGCGGGAATTTAGTTTTCAATTCTTTTGTCAATTCTGAAGGAGAAGGCAGAATTCTGCCATATATGGCAGCGGGGAAGCAAAAACAGGACTTAATACAGTTGGTAGATTTAATGCGGAGTGTCATCAAACTTGCTGTTCCCAGCCAAAGTGATCTTTCTTTTCTTCCAAATCATTTGGAACAATATTTTGACAATGTCACACAATTTCATGGGTAAGTTTTTATGCATCTAGATGCTTAAAATCCTTGTAATTTGTCGGTCTTTTTTCTGCATTTTTGTTTAAGATTTGTATTTCTTTATAATGTACTCTTTTTTTCCACAGGTCCTGTCCATTGGAGTTTGTTATTGATCAACCGTATTTTTGGAATACGGCGGAAAAAATCAATTTTACCTTCAAATTGAGAGAGTTGGTTAAAGAGAATCCTAATCCTTTTAGATTGTTCCTTGATTATCATCAATTATACCAAGATTGGTGGCAGAAGCTTCAACATGTATACATAAAACTTTTTAACAATTCGATGAAGCGCAAGAAGACCGTCAAAGGTTACCGGAATGCTATTGATATTGTCCGATTTTATGGAGCAGTCTATACTCATATAAATGAGTTGGAGTACAAACAAGATCGAAATAACAAGGTTTGAACTTTTGTTTTAATTTGCTATACATCCCAATGCCTTAACCTTTCATCTATGACATTTTTTTTTTTTTTTGGTAGAGGTTTAGTGATGAAAAGATCGAGTCAGATTTGGCAAAGATTTTTCCAGATTTTTATGTACACATGTTTTCGGCCTTGTGCTCGTGCAACCAGAAAAATATGTAAGTGACAACTTGATTTTGTTTTGAAAAGTTCCACAGTTGACTGATTCTAATTTGTACTTTTTACATCTTGTGTTAGGGGCATAACCAATGACAATCTGAGGGGTTTATCCACGGTTCATTCTTTCAGTGAGTTTTTAAATTATAGTCACTATCAGCAAAAGCTTTTTTGCCTCTCTCACCTTTCTTTTTCTGTCTGTCTCTTGCAGGAGGGAAGTAAAAGGAGCAGGATTCTGCCACGAGTGGTGAGTAATTCTTGTACTCCCAAGGTTATTTGAATTGATAGTTGATGATAGGAGGATGGATAGTTAGCAAGTGCAGGTCTAGCTATAGTTTAATGCACAATTATTTATGTGTTTCTCACTGGTTTTATTCTTTGATTAATATTAGTTCTAAATTTTCTTTGATTGAAAGTAGAACAGTGTTGGACATCTAATTAAAATTTTTTCACAAGGTTAGCAGGGGAGCTCTTTGGCATGTTGATTTCTGTTCTTTTCATGCAAGAGGCTGTTAAGGGAAGCTTGGATGAAAACAAGAGGAATACTTGCACAAATGTGAATATGTTTGATTACTTATCTTGTCTTAATTTTGCGGCAAATGGACAGGGTTTGTTCGCTGAATTTCGTGCCCCACACGGGACAAAACATGGACAGCAGGGTGATGATTACCTATTGATATACTCGAATGGCTTGCTTGCTCTTGTCTTTTCCTTTGGCGTACTCTTTACTTCTCTAAAGAGCGTAACAGCAAGGTCATGGCAATATGGCACCGGTATTCTGGTCTGCCCTTTAGTTTTTATAGGAACTAAGGAAGTCTGTTTTATTTTTTTTGGAATCCTCATGGCCATTGGAAATTTCAGGATGGTTTCGGAGCTTTAAAGCAGATTATGGGGTCCCCTTCCTGATCGTCATATGGACATTATTGTCCTTTTTTGTCCCTATAAGGCTGTCTTCTGAGATTCCTAGGCGGCTTGATGTTCCATCTTCCTCGTCTGTAACACTGAGCTCTGGTTCCTGCTTTTGCACCAAACATGTCGCAGCTGACAAACAGTGTAAATTATAAAGGAACGTAAAACATGAAAGTAACTGTTGAGGTTAATTCAACAAATTAAGAGGAAATTTTTGAGTTCTTTCTTTAGGGGATTTCTTAGCTAAATTGACTTCAAGAAAAAATGGCTGAAACCATGTGAATACAGACTACAGAACAGGTTAAGCAAAATAGACCTAGAACATTTTGCACTACATTTGTTCATACAGTATTTTATTTCCTAATCTTCTGATTTAGCGAACTGAACACTACTCAAAAGAACAGCATATAATTGCTTTCTTCAAACCAAAATATGGGATAGTACACAATTCCATAGGCCACATTAAGATACTACAAAGTAAATACTAGTATAGTAGTATATCTTAATCAAGGATTCGTGTAGCCTAATCATCATGTGGTGCTCCCAATAACACTATTTGCATGATTCTCGATATGAATATGCACTTCATTTGAATTCCGATTTGAACTTGACTCTTATCAGACAATTGCTTATAGACAAACTGCGTGTAGGGCTAGTATTATCATTTGGAGCACAATACTCAGAGGTGTAGGATATAATTTACGCATGTTAACCCACCTCAGGTCGGTAGTTAGAAGCTAGACAGTCGATTAGCTACACAATCTGTGTAACTACTTCATGATGCAAAATCTAGAGATAAACAGTTCTCAGCAGATAGAAACCGTTTCTATAGTCTACAGATTGCAGTTCATCACAAGTATTTCTAGGAACTTCTCTAGTGTAGCAGTAAAGAGTAGGAAAATAGAAACTAACCACTGTTGGCATGTGTTCCGGAGAGCAAATTATCTCCTGATATTCAGCTAAACAATCCTGCAAATAAAAGATATAAAGATTGCAGATCATTAGTTCCAACATCCATATATTGAGGAAGATGACATGTTGATATTGCAAGACAAAACTCATATTCATTTCCCCTCAGAGTACAGATAACCTATTGATCAAACAAAATATTTTCTTTCTGGATTTCAACTTAGAATGATAAAGCATACTTTAATGAACACGTTTAGTCTTTCTCCACTGTTCACGGGCATCCAAGGTGCTCCAATGACTTCTTCATACTCAGCGGCATCAAGTTCTTGAAGATACTCAGAAGGAAATAGCTTGGGGAGCATGTATTCTCTAATAGGTATTAGGAAGAAGAATGGCATAGGGAAAAAAAATCCCTACTATTGGTATCCATGTCACTCCAAAGCAGAATAGGAAATATACTAATTGGAACACTGTAAATGTCATGATGTACTTGAATGGCACTGATTCCAAATATGAACCATGATTGTCTTCTAAGACTCTGCAAGATATCATTTGATAGAAGAATATACACACAAATATGTTTGTTAGTGACTTAGTGTGAAGATTTTGAATATTCAAAATGTTATAGAATCAAGCTTTGGTAATGGATTAAAACCTACAATCATATTCTACATGAGGCCAAAACTGGAAAAGGCTAAAATGGATTCAACTCAGAAACTGAAACACCATAATTTTATTGAGGAGGTTGACTTACTTGTATCGACGTTTTCGGGCAACCAATAGGAGTGGTAACCTTTCCCAAAACTGATTTCCAGGAAGACTAACAAGAGACATGAATGCTCCAACTGCTCCAACTGAAGTATCCCCACAAGACTGATGTAGGTATCTGTTTGATGACAGGAATTGCTCCAACTGCAAGGCCAACAAGTAGGGATTGCAACAAGTTGCTCCATCTCTGTTCACAAACCCTGATGGGTAAGGGAGCATCAATGTGCTTAGCCGGATCAAATTTCTTTACATATCCACCTTGAGTCATCACAACCTCTTTTAATCCCTTTAGTTCTTTTGCGACAACAGCCTCCTGCAAGCAAGTCACAGAAAAACCATAATGTTCTTAACTTAATTGATGATCAATTACGCCCATACATTAAAACACCTACATCAGGATCAAGTTCCATCTCCCAAAAAGGTATCCTGCAATTTTTGGTACAATTCCGAGTTGCTAGAATCCATTTGCATGCATTCTTTAGCTTTGTCTATCATCTTCTTTCACCTCAGCTGTGGAACCCATGAATAGAATGTGTAAGAACTCAACTCAAATCATCTAGAGTACAGTCTCTCTATTTCCCACCTGTCTTAACCCTCTCAATGTGTTCACTAACCTGCCTCTTTAGTACTGCAAGGCTCTTAGTATGCATAGGAGCTTGTGGTAAGACTCCATTACATGGAGGGAGTCCAAGCAACCGACAGATCAAAGTCTGAAAAAGACAGTAATAAGAGCGAATGATTCAGGCTAGAGACTTAGAGTAGTCTTAAAGAAAGAGTGAACGAACATTTGGAAATTGTCAGAAACAAATATACCATAAATCCAAGTAAGAAGAGATCATAGTGGAAAGAAGAAGGTTTCCTAAGGTTGAACTCATCCTGCTGAGCCATCTGAGATGCGACACTGTGATCAAAGAAATAAAGTCCTGCAATCATAATTGCTGGTATAGAAGCAGCAAGAATGTAGAATATTGGAACCTTTGTCATATCCTGCATCCCAAACATACCATTTGAAAATTTAGGATTCTACCTTATGAAGAATTATAATGTAATTAGAATCGTAAGAAGTATTTGCAGTAATTATCTAATAATACTTCACAAAAATTTGAAAAAAGCTTTTTAAAACTCATATCCCTATGTTAAAATAAAGCAGTGAAGTATACTAGCCTGAGAAACTGTCCAGTGGGATTGTGAAGCAGAGTCCCAAGGGTTTGATGGGGAAGTATTTGATGCGCTGACAACTCGTAGAGGCGAGTTGAAGCGTACAAGTATGAGCCGCAGATACTTGCAGAGTTTCAGGTAAGATCTTAGCTGTAGATACTAATAGAAAATGACAATAATAATATTACAACAATACACATTTGATATATGCTAAACAAGAACGAACGTGGAACATATAATTCTTTATTGATAAAATTAAAAATCGTCAAATTTGACTTCATATTATTTAGTGTGGGGAAAATATTAGAAATGGAGGGAAATTTAAAATTTGTTATAGCCATTTCGAATATGTGTAGAAATCTTACTCAAACTCGAATCCTCGATTTTCATGATTCATTGTGTTGTCAAATTCCAGGTCCTATTCCAGCCTTTCCAGGCCCAAGGAGGACGATAGTACATTTTATTAGTAGAAAGAGGATGCGGATATTTTTTTCCTACGGTATAATGAAGGTGCCAGGACTCCAGGACGGTAGGAGTCATAGCCAGCCACCCCGGTCATGTGGCAGTTTTTCTTAGGTGATCGGCAGGCTAACATAACGATATGAAACCGGAATGATTTCAGACCTATAATCAACCAAATGTTCAGCAGGAATCACACGTTAAAATCAGTCCGATAGAGTGTATTTTTTTCTTATGCTAAGCAGGAAATTTTAGATTAAACAAAGAGTCTTAGTATAGCAGTTAAGGAGGGTAATCCACTTGAATTACATGGATAATCTCAGCTGGTGAATTATCTATTATTACACAAGTTCCTACATTATGATAATTCTTCCTACAATGCTTTGCCAATCAATCAGCAGGCTTGTTCTCCTCTCTTCTACTAAAACACTATCTTCACTTGTTGCATCTGTTGAAGTAGTTCCCTGCAATATTTCACAATATTCGAATGAAATTCTTTCACATTAAAATCTTGCAGTAGTAATAATGTAGCTCTCTGACAATCAGTAACAATTGTAACGTGACAGAAATCAGACAATTGTTCGGCTTCTTATAGTTTTAGGCCTTCCATGACACATAAAAGTTCAGCACATAAAGCAGAATTAGCATAACAAGTTCTATAAAACCATATATCCAAATCCTTGCTCATTTCTGAGAATCCCAGCAATTCCAGTAGGTTTAGTAGACTCCATAAAGGAAGTATCCACATTCAACTTCAAGAAACCTGGAGGGGGGGGGGGGGGAAGGGGCTCCCAACGAATAGTGGGGGATGATGGAGACAGAGAGAGTAAAAGGTTGGTCTTGGCAGGAGAAAATTCCCAAGCGAGAGCTTGAGCTTTGTGAAGAAACATTTCAGGATTTTTGTGTAAATTAGAGAAGGTTACATCGTTCTTTTTAAGCCAAAGTGACCACAAAGCATAGGGGAAGAGAATATGCCAGGGAAGCAGGGTGAGATGATGTTGATTTGGGTAGATGTGTGTAGGTTTAGAGTTCAAAAACAACCACTCTACTAGTGGGGAGTGAAAGAAAGAAGGATTTGCATTATGAAAGGTTAAAGACCAGAAAGCTTAGCTCTAATGCAGGATCTGAGAACATGCTCTGCATCTTCAATCACACCAGGGCATAGGGCACAAGTTTCAGAAGATGTAATACCCCTCTTATAGAGAACTTTACAAGTAGGGTGTTTATCCAACACTGCAAGCCAAGTGAAAAAATTAATTATAGGGGCACAATGAAGTTTCCATATCCAAGAGATATCCTTAGCATCACTAAATTTGGAGTTTAGAAGCTGAAAAGCTGAATGGAAACTAAATTTCCATCTATAGTTAAACTGGAATAGCTAAAATCATCCAACATTCCCATTTCCATATTAGTCTTACACTGCAACATGATATCAGGAGCTAAGGGATATGAACTCATGTCATCATATCAGCAGTTTGAGGTAATACAGCCCTTCACAGTTAAGGTAGAATCATGTTGTAACAGTGGGCCTGCCAAAATTGCCGTAAGTGAATTCCCATCGAGCCACTTATCAGTCCACACAAAAGTTTTATCTCCATTTCCAGCAGATTGCTGAAAGGTTTCTACCCATACCTCTCCAAATATGTGAGCCATTTGAAAAGGCCTTGAAAGACCAATCAGATTTCAAATATTTATCTCTCAGGAATCTAGCTGCCAAGTTGTCCCCTCTTTCCATGAATCCAAACATCTCACACCCAAACCTCCTCTAGTAGTGGGGGTACTAATTCTCTTCCAACTAAGTGATTCTCTGTTTTTCTCATTCTTCCCCCACAAAATGTTAGCCATTAATCTATTAATCTCCTTTTTGGAAGAAGCAGGAAGCCACAATAGCTACAATAGCTGCATGAAATAGTTGGGAATGGTGTTTAAAGTAGACTTGAGAAGAGTAAGTCTACCGCTCCTAGAAAGACAAGTAGCTTTCCAATCTAGCTTCTGTTTAACCTTATCAACAATGAACTGCACTTTAGATTTGGTAGGTCTAGCTACCATCAAGGCATCAAGCAATGGAAATCCAAGATAAGGGCTTA